TTGAGAAAGTAACAAAACAAAGCACTTGTTGTAACTAATAAAAAGGCATCTAGACAAGATAAAAAACAAATAAAAATCAATAAAACATCTACACTAAGCTGTAGAAAGAAGTATTTTTACTGTTTGTTGAAATACTCGGGTGTTTTAGCGATGGGTTTATGATGTTTACGATGGGTTGGTGGGGTAAATACGGAAGCGAAGTTTCAAAAACTGACCTTTTTAACTTACTTTTGGCTTATAATTTAATTATGAACATAAGGTTGGTTAAAAAGGCCGTTCTTACGAAAGTTCGTCTTGTAATAAATGTCGATGAAATTGGATTAAAATGAAATGAGGGTTTCTATTTGTCCCCCCTAAAACCCACTTATACTTGTTTATTATAAAACCTATCTCTAAATACTAATCTTAACCCTAAAATAAATGCACCCAAAAATTTGTATATTTCGGTGGCTTGTCTATTTTACACGATGTATCCCTTATTTCATTTTAATCTGATTTCATTTTAATCTGCCACAATTAATTTTAAATATATGAGTGCCGCCAAGGGAAAACCTGTAATCGGGCTGTCAATATTCAGTTTGTTTTCTGTGTGCCGTCTAGGGAAAATCTATCATCGGGCTTTAAATTATATTTTGTCAAAATATAATTGAAAGCCGATGATAGACTAGTCCTAGATGGCACACAGAAAACAAACCGAACATTGAAAGCCCGATTGCAGGTTTTCCCTTGGCGGCACTCATATGATAATTCTCAATCGTGCTTTGTTGATTTTAGGTTGAACCAAACGGGTTTGGGTCAAAATCCCGACAGCCGAAAATCCCAAATATGGGACTATGGTTATGATATTTTTCATCAGAATTTTTAATTGTCGGAATTTTTAACCGTCGGATTTTCTATTTGAAAAATTCTGACTGTCAGAATTTTTAATTTTTGGGATTTTGACTGTCGGAGTGAGACTCACCCCGGGTGAGTAATAAATATACCCTTTTATTATTACCAGGAAATAAACTATTGATGTCCGAAGGATCAGATTTATACACGTGGTTGTTTACTTTTGATCAACAAACCAAAATGATCTACATTATAACACAATCCTTCGGACAATGACTAGTAATGTTCTGCGTCGTTACGGATCCAGGATTTGCACGTGTTATTTGTGAATCGTGAAATGAAGTAGGTTGTTTTATAATCGGTATCCATTTACCGATTAAAAAAAAGCAAAAAAAAAAAAATGAAAAAAAATCAAAATAATTAAAATGAAATAAATTTAAAAAAATAAAAAGCGAATAAAAATAAATTATTATATGCACTCTTAACGTTAATTGCTAGCTAAATTTTCATGCATTAAACGAAAAATTAATTAAATTTAAGAAATAAAAAGCGAATAAACATGATTAGATGCCCGCCTAACGTTAATTGCTAGCTAAATTTCATATATTAAACAAATTCATTCATAATTAAAAGTTTTGTATTTCCCGCATAGAACACATTCGCATTTTCTTGAGCATAATGAATTCCTTTTTCTGCAAGAACATGATTTGGTGCCGCAATTTATTTTTCGGCAATGACAGGTTTCTTGTTGGGTGTCTTGACTTGAACCAATATCATTATTCGTAACACTAATGTTACAAAAATTATATAATTAATATTAATATTAATATATATATATATATTTTTTTTGTTGCTTACTCAAGAAACGTATTTGGCGGGGACTCACTAATACTACGTATGAGCTTGGCATCATGAAAATTATAGGTTGAACGTTTGTGATTATTGTTAGTCGATCTTATATTGTTGCAAGTTGGGAACCTGCTCATGCGCTGGGAGTTTTTTTTTATCGTATTGACCAATCAGGTTTCGAGATCAGGCGAAGTAAACTATTTTAGATTTTCTTGATGTTTAAAGCAGTTTGCTGATAAAGATTAATTTTATATTTGTGCCACGAGTTCAAAGTTCGAGTACGATTAATATGTTCAGTAGCAACGCGAATATGATGGGGTTGTTTAGTGTCTGCTTTAATTTGTTGATCTATCGAAATTGAACACGGCGTTAAAACGCTCGAAGGGGGTTCTAGACTATTTCTGTTGTAGCTGGTGTTAAGTGTAACCATTAGGTTTTGCAGTGAACACATATATATATATATATATATATATATATATTTCATTTTTTTATCGATTGTACACAGCGTAAAGGGTTCATCAAAGTACTTTTATTAAAGATTTGTTTTATCTAAGTTTTGATGATGTGGCTATTTTTATTGTTACTTATTCAATTTGTTTATTCCTTCGGGGGGAGGGTTTTTTTTTTTTTGTTATGATAGGATTTAGAGTCATGCCTTTTTTTTTGGTGTGCGGGTTTAATTGTTCGTTGTGAACTCTTCAAGTTTTAGTATTAATTGCGATTGTGCATGCTTGTGAATCTTGCGGGACGAAGTAAAGATGATAATAGATTAGATTAAGGGTTAGAATAAAGGAAAATGAATAAAAACAAATTAGTATAATTTCCGATTTTGTTTAGTGCTATTGTTTGTTTTGATGTTGATTTTTGTTCGTGATGCCTTTTTGCTTGTTGGGTGGTGTGTCGTTCTTGCAACGGGATTTTTTTTTTCGTGTGTTGGTAAGGTTGGAGGATTGTACGAAGCAGATGTACACGATACAGTTTTCTTTGGTGTTGGTATTGTTGTTTGAACGTTACTGTTTTATTGGTATTAAGGTGCGTATTTTGATTGGAGTTGTATGGTATTTTTTTTTTTTTTTTTAGTTTTTTACTGTGAGAATCTAAATTTTTTCGCTCTTTTTTTTTTTTTTGTAGATTTTGTAAAGGTTATTATGTTAGATGATTATAGTGTGTTATTCTGTTTCATCACAAAGTATAACTAAGTACTTGCCAAGTGCTTACTAAGTACTTATTAAATACTTATTATAATTACTTATTAAACTAATTTCAACACAGCTTATATTTAGTAAATATTTAAACTAAATATTTAGTAAGTAATTATAATAAGTATTTAATAAATATTTATAATAAGTACTTAACAAGTACTTTTAATAAAGAAGTATTTAAATAGTGACTTCTTACGCTTAATATCTTTATAGCAAAGTTAAATTGTAATATATATTAGATTAAATTAAAGTTAAAATTAAAGTTAGTATTAGGGTTCGGGTAACGTAAAATTGTGAAAAAAACATTTTTGCTTATATTATATGAGAGGTGTTACCTAGTCAAAATTTTGAGATATTAGCAATTTGAGAATTGAAAATACTAAGTAAATGAGATATTAACTCAATAAAAAAAATCAAAGTTAGAGAAATATTAAAAAGGACTCTTTCCGACGATCACTTGCGACAAACAATTTGCTAACGAATACAGAAATCTGTTGAAGAAAAGTAGAAGAAGCAACTATCAAGTAATGGTTTTTACAGAGGTCAAGGCTCGTCTAGATTGCTGAACTCCCCTGTATATTTGACAAGCAAGCTAAAAGCGTTCCTGTACAAGATAACTGGCAAAGTGCCCTTGGCCAAAAAATTTTAGTGAAAGTAATACTTCCGTTGACGAAGTAAAAGATAGTTGATACAAAGGAGAACAACAGACGAGTTTTCAACACACTCACTTCTAGTCCCAAGTCCTAAGCCTACCATAACCAACTCCCAGAACAGTTATCTCCCACTTTTCTCCAAAGGTTTTTTTTATAAAAATTTCATCAAAAAGTGAGTGATTTGGCTTACCCCCTTCTAAAGATCGACACGTCCCATTCCACAACAGTCGGCATTGTTTACTTTCCCAAAATAGATTGTCCTGTGGTACAAGGACCAGTTTTGACAAAGACATAAGGGTACATTTGACACATGCTTTGGCTGAATTCTATCAAACAATGCTCCGAGACTACGAACTTTCGACCCTCTACCTCGTTTCAGTCGAAGAAGTTTCTTTTTCCTTTAAGGTTTTTTTTTTACTTAGATATGTTATTAGAATAGAATAGAGTTTAAATAGAGGCTTTTTTATTTCATAGCATGTAATCTTTAAAAAAGCACGACACAGGCTTATAACCGTGTTGACTCCTATTTTTTTTTAGTTTTTTTTTACCTTCCTCCTTTTGTTACTTTTCCCTTTGATCTGTTTTGTTTTTTTTGTTTTGTTTTTTACCATTTTCTTTTTCTCTTTACTTTTTCTATGACTACTAAAAATAGAATAGTAATCTAAGAGTCCATAAATCTAGGTAGGCCTGGACCTATCCTACACTAGTATGGCTTAGGTCACGGTTAAAGTAGACTGAGCTCGTAATCTTACTAAATAGCTTAAGTATCTTCTGATGTACTCTCATTAAGAATTTATTGGTTATAATAAAAGACAAGAGCCAGGCCTCGCCATAAAAAAAAAAAAAAAAAAAAAATTATTTAATTTGTGTTTTTTTTTTTTTTTAATTTTCAAAGGTAAGGCCATGCCTTTAATTTGTGATTTTGAATATTTGACTAATCAATTTTTTTTAATATCTAGCTCCCAAGAATAATGAAGTTTCCAAAAAAAAATGACAGACCAAGTGATAATGCCTCTAGTGAAAATAATATCCCAAATAACAATAATGCCACTAATAATAAAGCTGTGCTAGTGGTCAGTGATTTTTCCTATGCAAGTTCATACTTTCAGCGAACTGATTCGCAAATATCATTGGCAAACACTCTTGGTGATCTTGAAATATCCAGTTTTTTGAATGTGTTGGGTGAGCTCAATCAAAATGGTTCTAGAAAGAGTATAAAAAAAAGGCAGGTTAATGAGGATCATAAAGAACTAAAAAATAAATTTGTTAAAAAGTTTCTTACTGGTAATACTTTTCATAATTGTACATTTAATTTTTAAATACTTTAATTGAAAAACATAGGTTAGTATAGAATTAGCTGCTTAAAAATACGAATAGAAATCATCTTTTTTTAAAAACAAAAAATAAAAACAATATGTATCAATTCTAGAATAGTCTTTTACTAATTGTAGAGCAACTCCATATTTGATAATATCTGAGACTATACGTATATACATACGTAATAATTTATAACACACAGTTTATTTATTTGTTTGAGTAATACAAACCAAAAAGGAAATCAAATTTTGTAAATAAACTAAGATATAAAGATAGAAGTTTAGGGTTAGAGCGTTAACATTAGAAGCTATAACAATTGATTGTTGCTTGTTATATATAAAAATATGTAATATTTCATTTTTAAAAATTTTAATTAATGCACCAAGGTCGATTTAAGGGTAGGGTATACAAATTTCTAATTTCATATAAAATAGATTGTAGATCAACTTTGTGTAATAAATTTATATAATTTTATAATTTACATATAAACATCATATGATTTGACCAATCAGAATAGCAATTTCTTTGTACTATCTAAAAAAAACATATAATGACCTAAAAAAATTTAATTATATATGAAGTTAGTTTTTTTTAAAAGCAATATATATTGCGCAACTTCAATATCATAAATAAACTGTTTAAATTACATATTATATAAATTTTATACAAATTGGTTAAGATATTAAAAAGTTTTATTAGAAGCATTTTTTTATGTACTATATAAAAATCTAATATATCATGTAGATCATATGAAAAATGATCTATATACACTCTACCCTTAAACACTAGTTTTTTTAGTATTTTTACTTTTTTCTTTGTATTATCTGTATAAATAACATACACGCCATTCTAGATGACAGTTAATCATACACTTTGTGATTTATCGCTTTTAAAAAAGTTACTGTAAAACTTATATATTACCTGTGCAATTACAGCTAGCTGTTGAAAATTTTGTTATCCCAGAATTTATGAAAACAGCTGTAAATAACTAACTAAACAAGAGTAAGTCATGATTTACTATTGGTGATGGTTATGTGCTATAGACCTATCTGCCTGCGGTTTAGCTCAAACCATTTGCATTACTATATATGACATAAATAGATTAAAAAAATCAAATGGTGTCCATTCTCCATATCAGTAAACAAAACGAATTCTAAAAAAGAATGTTAAATGCAATATAAAATTTGTTAAGAAGACTAAAATTTTAGAATTAATTTCAAAAAAAGTATTTAATACAATATTAAGACATTGGTAAAAAATATAAAACTATTACAAATATAAAAAAAAAGTTTTAAATAATCTTATATTACTAAACTAAGATCCTTTGTATTCATCATGAGATATATATTCTCTATTACCATAATGATTTTTGTCTTAGTGCTTAGCATAGATTGGGCATTAGTCATTGATGGTAAGGTATTTTTCAAATTCACATTTGAATAACTTCATTTTTTAAATTAATTTTTTAACTTGAATCATTATACTGATTTTATAGCTGTATGTCAACTAGGTACAAATTCTCAATCTTGTGGGCCTGGTGAATTATATCAAGAACCTGATTTTAATGATTGTAAATCAGGTATTACTTGTGTAAATAGTATTTGTGAACTAAAACTAGCTAGTAGTTGCATTGTAGGAGAAAGTCTATGAAATTGTGATATAGGTAAACAGTGTGCATTTAAGCCTGACTGCAAAGGTAATTTAACATGTATCACCCCCTGTCTTGGTTTACTATGTTTGGGTATATACGGATTCAATACTGAGATACAGTATTATTCAATTTTATTATTTTTAATAAAAATATAATATTAGTTTTTTATACTTTTTTGAGTTGAAATAGATAGTGCAAACATTTAAAGAAATTAAATAACTTGTCCTATTATTAATTGGGTCACCATAGCAAAAGGTGATATTGGGTCAAAAATTTTTTTTGTAAAAATTTTATTTTTGCAAAAATTAGATTATTTAGAATATAATATCAAAAAACTACAGAAAAAAAATTTTTGGCTCATCACTTTTTCTGTGGGACCCAATTTTTAATAGATACACTTGACCTCCATTAATATCAACCTTGTTAATATCAACTTCCCTTTAATATCAACCTCTGATTAAGACGAAATAGACTCAGAGTATATTAAAACTATCCCGATATTATCAACCCTCACATATATCAACATAATTGCCTAATCCAAATGGGTTAATATTAACGAGGGTCAAGTGTACTATATAGTAGCATAATGGTAACAATAGGCAATGTTGTATATTTGATTGTTCCAAGCTTTTTACCTTGTTCTGTTCCATCAATTTTTCAATTATTAGTATGAAAAGCTGTTATCAAAGCAATAATAAAATATATACAAAATTAAATTATAAACATTTTTATTTAAGAACTAAAAAAGGAGATTGTCTTAATAAAATTTTTAGTTAGGCTATACAAAATTAATTAATTGGTTTTCATAATCTGGCTAGGTTAAAATTTGAAAACTTATAAAAAAATTTTTTTATATATTTTAGTAACTAGATGTGTTTTTTAAAAAAAATTTAAAGTTAGGATGTGGTGACTTAGTGAAGTGGTCAAGTTGTTGCATCTCCAAGCGGCAAGACAAGAGTTTAAATCCCACTAGCAATGAAATTCGAATTTTACAAAATGTGTTACAGCAGACTGTGTGTAATCTGATGGATCATTGGATCTGTAAACTTGGTTGTACCAGGGTTATTGAGAAGTTGTGAAACTGTAGTGTGACACATAAGTTACATGAAACCCGAGTGAAATGGCTATGTAAATTCAGGTATTGGGGTACACGAAGTCTACTTAACAAGTTTCAAGTAGAAAGGTAGTACAGATCTTTGACGGTACTACATAAAAGACTATCTAAAGAATCTAGACACCGATTTCAGTAATCTGAACGAGAACCGGTGTTTGGCAAGACACTATACAGTATTAACCAGGCTGTCAGCTGAGTAATCAGAGGAAAAAGACCCAACCGTGAGGACTAGGAGCAGGTTACAGCCTTTCCGGGCTATCTGGATTGGGAGTTTAGGTTATTGACAGAACTTAGGTACTGGTGATAGTTTGTAAAGTGTGTGCTGGGGTTTGAGTGAATTTGAAAAGGCAAGGAGTAGGTAATGGTAGCAGAGAAATATTGCAAGTACTTGGTCTTGGCCTAGGTATAAGTTACTGAAAAATCTAAATAATATATGTTTGTGGTTATGGACCACTCTAGTAGGTTTATCATGAGGATAAACTAGTCCTAAGGAGCCTTAGCAGCAGTTCCTCTTTGAGAAAATATCTGATGGCACTAAGTTGATCAGAGGGTTTAATTTGGTAACTCAAGTAATAGTGGATTATAGGTACAGCATCTAGTATATTACTTAGTAATAAAGAACTACTTAATTAGGTACTCAAAAGGTGCAGATATGACTAAAATGTACCCTTGTTAATGTAACAAAGTCAGGGATGGTCCTGTGGCTGCTCTAATATTCACAACCAAAGTTAATAAAATGTGCCAGACCCCCAAGTGATCACCTTAATATTAAAAAAAAAAATAATAAATTTTAAAAGATGTAGCAACTTAGTGAAGTGGTTAAGTTGTTGTACCTCCAAGTAGCATATTGGCAGGTTGGGGTTTGAAACTTACTGATGATAAAATTTTGAATATTTGCTTATATAATGGTTACTGTTTTTCAATAATTAGTTGGAATGAAATTTTTGTAACTTTGGTGATACCAACAAGATTGAAAGATTATAAGCAATGCATAAGTTATATAAGTAAGCTGGCATTAGACAGTGCAAATCTAAGATAAGTTTTTGTGATCATATTAATTCAATAAATTAGAAGTTGGATATCTGCTTAACAAAACCTGAATAAAGAAATAATACAAACTTTCAACAATGGCTACTAGAATAGACTTTACTCAAGGCTGGTTAATTAGATATGACAAAAGCACCCAACAAGTTGCTCCATCAACCAGACCACCAGTTTGAATATTAACTAAAAAAAAAGAATCAGCAGATATTATGAGACTGGTGTCTCTTTCAGGCCATCTGGATTGGTAGTTTGGAAAGTCTAACTAGAAGTACTGAAAGAGAAGATACTGGGTTGTCTTGAAAGAGAGGTATTGGGATTTGGATAAACTCTACAAAGGCTAAGTAGATAATAGTAACAGCTTTAACTCGTAAATACTTGTCTTCAGACTTAGTATAAGTTACTGAAGTAAATTAGATAATATAGTAATAGTAGGTGCCAGACTGCTTTAGCAGGTGATGCCTTAAGGATGAATCAGTTAACCATGTTAGTAGTTCTATAAATAGCTTGCAATAATTCTGAAACTTGAACTAACTAATATATTGCATGTTTCAGGTGAGGTTAGATGGATTGGCATAGAAAATTCAGATCAGAGAGTTTCAATAGGGATCCACAGGCAAATCTCAGGTATAACATATAGAGGGTAACTATAGAGATATAGCAAAGCCCTTAAATAGACAATGACTAAAGTTGTACATGTGTCCATGTGTACCCTCATCAGAATGTACTTGTCTAAGGCCCTTGAAAAGGACACCACATGATTCTACAATCTAATAAAAGCGAAAAGCCAAAGAGGCTAACCTTGACTATAAAAAAAAAAAAATTTCTTTTAAAAAGTTTTATAAAATTTATATATATGAAATTTAAAAAAAAGCCAGCCGGTTGAGTCTGTTTAAAAGTTTCATGTTATGAAAACCAAGATATTAAATTTGTGACCTTATTAATATTTTTTTAAAATCTCAAATCCCAACTTTGTTTCAACTGTTAAATTTATCTGTCGATCCAATATTAGTATAGATATACGGATATTTTTATTGGTGCTTAATTATTAAAATTTGTAAATAAGGATGTAATAAGAATTTCAATAGAAGAACAAAACTACCTGAATGTTAAGCATTTGGCTCTTTTAATTTCAATATTTGCACAATTTACAAAAGTAAAATAAGAAATTAAATCGTGGTCTATTGTTCTGGAAAAAGCTTTAGAATCCAAAATGTATTTATGCTAAAATATTATTTTACTGATCGTTTCATTATCCTGAACTACAAGCCATTGCTTTATAATAAAAAGGTTGTTCGAAGATACTATTAAAAAATTGACATTTTCACTTAAGAAATCCATATCTGTGATTTTGATTTGATTTGCTTCAGTCGTTGCAAGCTTTTTTATTACTTATTAAATCCTTGTTGACAATTATTACACTTAACATTGTATATTACACATTCATTAAAAGAATTTTAATTTACAAAAATAATCAAAGGTTTTTTTCATTAACTAAGATAATAAAAAAAGCAAGGGTACAAATTAATGTATATTTAACTAATAAATACAATAACTAGAGGGTTTTACAATATCTGTTAATAAAATGTGTGTTTAAAAAAGCCTAAAGAAGCAAATTTATAAAACAATATAACCTTTCAAAAATATGAATAATCACAGCAAAATTATATTTAAAAGATTCAATTTATTTGAAAAAGTTGTAGCAATTTTATATTTTACAGATAAAAAATAGACGCAAATCAATTTTTTTCTAGAATTAGCTAACAAGAATTGTGTTTATTTATGAGGTTATTCAGAAAATATGATAATATCTATAAGGCAATTGTCCTTTATAAAGGCACACATATAAAAAAAAATATATTTATGACTATAGAAATGAAGAGTTAATTAGAATATAAACTATTTCTATGCAGTGAGACTAATTTTTTTCGTATTCTACCGAATTGACAAGATTATAATGAAATTTATTTATAATGAACACCAAAGTTAACAAGCTTATCCAACACCTCTCTTAAAAGCTTTTCACGGTTTAACAATCTCTCTCTTTGATACTTTGTACCATCATCTTCCCTAATTAAATCATCGAATGATCCATCTTTATCATGAATAAAATTTTCCATTAGTTTTTCTTCAACGTGGTCACTAAATTTATCAATAAAAGTGTGAATTATTGTCATAGAGACAACGTCAACGTAACGCTTGATTGAAATTTTTAAGTATGCTAAAACTATTGCCACAACTTCTAGAGTGTCAGTAGGAGTTCGATTCTCAAATTTCACTGCTTCATGAAGAGATTTTAAGTATTCCGTTTTTAAATCTATCACCATTTGTTTATCGAGTGTAAATGGATAAGTGGTTCGTTCCATTTGGTACGTAAAGCTAATATGATCTGCTGTCTGTTTTTTACATTCTTCTAACCAAGCTTGTGCCTTATATCTTAAAGTAGATTTTAGAAATGTTAGCTTTAAAATAATTATTATTTCTCGAAATTAAATAATTATTATTTTTCGAAATTACAGAATTAAATAATTATTATTTCTCGAAATTACAGAATTAAATAACTATTCTTACTCCATGCGTCCAACTAAACCAGGAAATCTTGAAAAGATGTTTTCTATTGTCTCATTCACAACTTTTATCATAATCTCATAAACAGCATTTAAACAATTTATAGCAGGTTTTTTCCATTGGTTTTGATGTGCTTGGATAACAGTCTGTACGGCTGAATGAGGAATAAAACCGGGGAGTAATCTTCCACGAGCATTTCTAATTATTTCAGTGACTTGGGCTTCCGTTAATTGCTGCACTTGGTCCATACTTATATTACTTTTGTCTGTGGGGCAGTCTTCGATGAAATCTTTGAGTATATCAATTATACCTGAGGGCCTTTCTCCGATATTATTGATATAATTATTACTGTAATCAATTGAGAAAATTGGACGGAAAGCATAAAATTCTACTTTGAATTGCACAAATTGATTATTAAGTGATTTCCATAATTCAATTTGATTATTTGAGCAAGTAGTTTTGTCTTTGATAATCGTGGAGCAATTTTTTATCAGGCGAAATAAGTCAATTTTTGGATTATCAGAGAGTTGCATTGGAAGTTTTTCTAAATCCTTGCATGCCTAAGATATGAAATATAAAATAAGATAATTGATTTATAAATAGTCTTGGTTTTATAATGATAAAAATACCTCATCTAACTTTTCTTCAACGTCTTTTCGGATATCTGGAAGACTTCTTTTAATAGCTTTAATTAATAATTCGGATAATTTATTTTGCAAATTTTTAACCCCGATTCTTTCTTGTAAATGAAAATCATTCCACGGATCTTCTTTTTCAAAAAACTATTATAAATGAAATATTAGCTACAGCAATTATATTATATAGTAATAATCTTTTATTTAAATATAAATTAAAGGCGAACCTCGCTTTCAGCTAATCTAGCTTCTTCGAACCCAATATTATCCATGCGCTGCACTTTAGTTGGATTCTTTACGACATAATACCCGAGTTCAAGTGGATTAGCTTCACCTCTCATAATCTTTAACCAGGTATCATGTGTTCCCTCTTCAATCATATCAGGTTTTGTAAGAACGCCTAGAGTTCGAATTCCTAAAGGATCGGCTTCTTTTGCAAGAGTTACGATTGCTTGGTTGTCTATTTCGTCCTTACATGAAATCGTCGCTATTATAATTGATTTTTCATTTTTAATATATTCTTTTACAAGCTCTTCAGTCAATGGGATAAATCTCCTATCTTCGGCTTTTTCAGTATGTCCTAAGTATTATTAAAAGAATACATACAGATATTATTAAAAAAGTATATGACGATAGCGATGATGCAAACTACAGTCACCAGTCACGTGAGTTGGATTTCAAATATTTTTATGCAAGAGACTTTCTATAGAACAATATAAGCACTCTGAATTTACAGAATAGTTTTTTTCAAGAAGCTTTTTTGCGTAAATTAATATTAAAGTTTAAGTAATTGTTAAATGAACTTGATGAAAATTATAAATTTAACCAGTAACTTTGTAGAGCATATTACGAAAAACAAATTGCCAGTCACATTTATAATAATGCTAGTTGCAAGTTTATATGGTTCATACTGTATTTGATCATGCAACAGTCGAGTGTAGTGTATATACTTACGGATAATTCCCGGCAAATCAATTAAACTTAAGTTTGGGACATTAGGACCTTTAATTTCCATGCACACAACATTTTTCGTAAACTTAAGACCGTTTAATTGAGAATCATCTTCATAAGTTTGGTCTTTAAAATCCCAATCAATATATTCATCGCTTTCTTTCATAGGATTTAATAATGCCTTTTGAGCACGACGTGCCATTAACTCAACTTTATCTGGATCATCAATCGGGCTACCAAATTTAGTTTCAATAGGATTAGAAAGGCGTTTTTCATGTTCATCATATTCTTTGCGAAGAGAAACTTGACATGACCATGTTTTGGGAACTTCGGATAGTCTCAGTTCCATCACACAGCGAGTACAAGTTCCATCAGATCTAGGCAACTAAAATTTTAAAAAATAACATTTAATTTTATGCATCACATTTTTGAGATATAGTATGCAGATAATAAGAAACTTATAGACCTTAACGCCTGAAATCGCCTCAAGTAAGCTACTTTTACCCGCAGATTGATTTCCACAAAAAACGATTGTGGGAAGATTTACGGCGAATTGGGCACCAATACGACGCAATTCATTTAAAATTTTAATATAGTTCGACGCCTCTTTTGCATATTGAGAGCTAGAAATATTATATACCTGAGTCATGGTTTTTTGTTAAGAAAATATTTGTTATGTTATTTACGTATAATTATAGTTTTTTAAGATAGGAAAATATATGCTAAGTTATGTTATTTATAGCTTAGAGACAATGGACATTAGCCATAATTTATCCTAAGACAACGCTGCCGATCTGACAAAAGATGGTGAAACAAACTAGAGTGATGAAACAAATTCGTTTTTAATGATGAAATTTGTGAAATTAATTTCACTAGATCTAACGCATTCTTGGCCTATTATTGTTTGTATCCTTTATCCTAGTCCTTTGTTTTTTTTTCTTCTTCTATCCCTTCGGGCATTAATGGAGATAGTTGGGTTTCTTTAAGACCCTTTAATAAATTCGTACACGTTACACGAATGGATGGTTGATTACTTATGATCCTGATGATCAATGATCAGACTTTGATGATTTGATTCGTTGTCATCGTATAACGATAACAATAATGATAATTAAGCCATTAATTAATGTCAAAGTTATAATCCGTTTATGGAATGAATGAACAACTGAGTATCACCTGCTAAGTATAGAATTTTTTATCAGATTTTATACGTATATACATAGTTATCGAATGCAATGCAGCGACTCACCTAGTATCACCACCAAAATCTGGTACATTTAATAGATTTAATATGAAATATATCTATGACTATGTTTTGATTAATAATCTGTATTGCGTTGAAATTTATCTCTTGGAACTTTGTAATATTCCTAAAATGGATCATAAATTGTTATCTTGTTAAATTAATTTATTTCGGGATAATAAAAAAACGTGTTTTGAGTGTTTATATCGTATAAATGATAACAGAAAAAAGAAAACATAATATTGCAGAAGAAAAATATTATAAAATCTGAAGAGTTTGAACACGATTTATGAAAAACACTCATAAATATTGAAGGAAAAAGCAATACGCATATGAATCTCGAGACTTTTGCAGATATTATTCAAATAATTAACGAATTAGAAGAGTAGCGCGGATGAAATAATTCACTCAGGAAGATAGATGCATCGTTTTTCTAGAAGTTTATTATTGTATAAAATTTCTAAGCTTAACATTAATTTAGGGACAACGAAATTCGCAATACCTCTTATTACGAAGACTAAGAAACTTTTGGAAGTCGGGTCTAATTAATCATATAAAAGTTAATTTAACAATCAACCCGACAAAAATATATATATGAAGATGAGGCAAGTACTGAAGATAGGCAATTCAAAGAAAGAAAGAAAGAAATAAATAAATAAAAACAAAAAAAAACTCTGAGATACAAATCTTTCTTATTTATTAACACTGTATTTAAATCAATATACATTAATATTATAATGTTTCAGATATTCAAAAAATGGTAGATGTTATTAAAGATTTCGTACGAGAAAAAAACATTTTTATTGTAACATTAAATTTAAATTGAAGTTTTACGCATATTTAAAAATAAAATAAAATTTATCAAATAAGCTATTAAATGAATAATTTGAATAAATAAAAAACATTACAATTATTTTCTTTTTTTGCTAATGCAATAGCGCAAGTTATTTATTTAAGCGTTTATTCAGTTAGATTTCTTACTTGCTTTGAGTCAGTGTAATAATTATTTATTGACATGTTTATTTATTCAGTTTTTTCGTTAATTTATTATTTTATAATTTTAGTTGGTAAGTATTTAAATAAGTTATTCATCCCATTAATTTTTATTCACGTTGACTGATAGGTAAAGCAATTGCTCATCGATTAATTCACCATATTCACAAGCTAAATAAACGCAAGACTTTGAGTATTTGGTAGTTTATTTTAAATAATTCGATCGTTATATTTAAACTAAATCAGCACGAATAGGAAGTTGAATGATATGGTAAATAGTAGTAATAGTACTTTATATTCAAACTAAATCAATGCAAATAGGAAGAATTAAATAAGATAGAAATAATTTAAATACTTCTATTTAGGGTTCAAAATAAACAAAATAACGTATTTTATAAGATTAGAAAAATAAAATAAGATTTTTAATTTTAATTTAATTTTAAATACTTCGATTGATAACCATATATTAGATCAACGTGAAGTAATAAACTAAGGAATTAATACCCTATTTTTTGATTTTATTTTTTGATTTTATTTTTTATTTTATTTATTGGAGTTTCAGAACCAACTTCGGAAATAAGTGGGAATCTAAAAGATCATATTTACATTTTAAAATTCTGAATCAGAGAATTAAAATTAGCTTTTTTTTTGATATATATAAATAAGTTTATATACTTTAAACAAAAATAAGATTTATGAATAACTTATTTTGACGTAAGTACGTTAGTTATTTTATCTGAAATCGAATGCCAAATCATTAATTCTGAAACCCATTTATTTTTTTTAAAAAAAAAGAATGAGACCTGGTTTCGGCTTTTTTATTGATAACTTTTGTAAGAGAATTACATATTAATATCAGAATATTTTTACGTATATGTGATATTAAGCTATCTAAAAACCTACAACTAGAATTACTTCACTCTTTGTCTAGGCTCGGCTAAGAAAAGGCGCCAGTGTCTCACTTCTTGCGATTTATCTAGAATGTTGTATGCTGGAATATTTGCGACGAAGGAGTTTTGTTGCTTGGAGCCTAGATGCTTTTGTCTAATGGTATTTCCATAATGTTTACCTCTTTCCTTCTTTCTTGTCTTCTTTTTAGATTGTTTTAAATATGGTATTTGAAGATGCATTGTGTTTGTAATATAGCTTAGTCCATTTTAGCCATTTGATATAAACAAATTTTGAAACTAATTGTGCTATTTTAAATAGATCAGATTTTCAAAATAATGCTTATACCCGTTACTTTGAATTTATAACAATAGCAACTTACTTTTTGATAATCTCTAGTTTAAAAAAAAGTGCGAGGACTGCAATTATATGGATATTGAGAAATCCCTTGAAACTTAAGATCATAGTTTTTATCTGTAATTTCAGAAACAGTCAAGTAAAAAATTGGGCTATGCCGGCTGATCGTGACAAATTTGTCACGGTTTTTTTTCCAAGAAAAAATTTTATTAATTTTTGCCTATCTGCTATGAAATTTGTCACATTTAAAAAATACATGATAAGAATATACTAATGCTAATAAATTGCATACTAGCTATTATAAGATTAAAAAATAATAAGCACAACAGTTCTCTTATTTGTTATTAGCCTTAATAATATTCAAGATCGTCATTGTCCTTCTCATTTATTACATGAAATGAATACTAGCGCATATTTTTCCATCTCTTCAATTGCAGTTAATACTTGAGATTTTTGAGATTTGCTCTTTGGTGTCCACCATGGTTTATGGATGAACACTGATTTGTATGAATTGTGTCGTGATGATCTAACGCCATCAACTTTGAAAATATCTTCAAGTAAGTTCCGACTATGGTTTAACTCATCAAGTATTTCGTTAACTTCTTTATACATTTTCTGTATAAATTATTAAATATTACGTCATTTTCTTTGATGTCAAAATAGTAAAAAAAAATCATATGGGAATGGTTAGTTATGCGCATTTCCAATCAACCAACTTATAGTGCTTACCATTATATGCTTAAAAGATATTATCACCGATTTTAATTTTCTAATGTGATTCAATCTTGTTGGTATCTCAAATATTGGTTCCGGATAAACGACATAGAAACCATTTACCAAGTCTTCTACCAATAGTTGTCCAAAGACACCTGCAATTTGTAAATATGGAACCTTAATAATACCCGTTTGTATGTCAGTTAAATCTCTGCTCAACAGGCCATTTAAGATGGATTGGTTTATCCTAGCTGAGCGACAACGATCTTCGATTGCTTTAGTTGGAGTTGCTTGAGCGGAAAACTCCCATTCACCAAGATCTATTCCCGTATGACTTAAAAATCGGACATCACATTTCCTACCTCTTTCATAACTAGCGGACTGGCTTAAAGGACAAAAAGACTCTCCCCTTATGAACAAAAATATTCATTATTCATACGCTTGCAAAGATCAAAAAGATATTATTTATTTATTTACCATTTACAATATATTCCAGTTCCATTCTGCAGTCCATTAACAATATAAGAACATGTTTTTACAATAATATCAATTTCGGTGTGATGCTCACCGCCACAATATAAAAGATCATTTCCATCTTTAACATTGTAGAGACTACATGTGCAATTAAAAAAGATACTAAGGACAAGCTACAAACAATAAAATGAATATAAGGAAATACTCACAAATCACTATATATTTTACTTATTTTGTAAAAACACGTATTGACGAATGCATCTGCATGCTGATTAAGACAATATTTATATACCCCATTAGCATCGCCTTCCTTTACCATCTATGTACCAGTAAAAAAATAAATTTAAATGTATAAGATAATATTAAATACATTTATATTGTATACTTACTTTTTCTACCTTTGCAATGAACTCATTAATGTCTTTTGTCAATTCGGGAACTTTGAGAATTTTTTCATGATCTTTCATCATATCCTGACGTTCAGTTTCAGTAAACCATACTCGCATATGTGCCGAAAGATCAATAACTCTTGATACTCCATATCTTAAAGTTGCTTTCTCTTCTGCAGTCAGCTTCTTTTTATTTTTAACATTTCAGTATGTTGAAATAAATTTTTAGCAAAAATGTCTTTAACAAGTTTTCCCAAAGACAAATTCCAATTCTGTATATTAGTTGGCAGGGAAGAACAAAGAATATTATCCAAGGTAGGAATGTCTTCGTCATTATCATTATCTACTATTAATGGATTATCATCCTCATCGTCATATAGCGAAATGAAATCTGGTGCTGGTGGTGGTTCTTGTAGTATTGTGCCATTGGGAAGGATGTTGGGAAAGATATTTTCAGAATTACTCTTCTTCTAATCACAAAGGTTAGAATAAGTGTCTCGCTATGATGATTATTACTGGTCATTATGGACTTACTTTTGAGTGAATCCAGCTTTCTGATGGACTTGCATGCTTGATAGTAAATTTTCAGAAGATAATAATAAAGGCAAATGAATAATTTGAGGATAAAAGCAGAATGACAACTAAAATTAAGTTATGTCCCAACCTTATTTGGAGGAGTTGACGGAGTTGACAGAGTTGATTCCTTATTTGGATATTTTCGCTTACTTCCAGTTATTGGTTTATCCTTCTGATTCCTATTCAAGACAGTATTGGCCTTATTTCCTGGTATTGTAAGAGAAGTATTGGGTGGTGGTGTTGTGAAAAAAGTATCGAGTGGTGGTGTTGTGAAAGAAGTATCGGATAGTGGTGTTGTAAGAACACTAGGAGAGTCAAGGGCCAACATATAATCTAATTTTGCCTTGTCTGCGATCATATGAGCTTCATTCCCTGACACATAACGATCAACAATAAACTGGGTCTGCCAACAAAAGGTCGGCATGGTTATTGTGAAGATTGAAACTTAGTATATATGTGTCGAATATACCTTTGCTTGTTCCAACTTCTTTTTCAACAAACGTTCATCTAAGTCAACTTTTTCGTTTTCAACAATATTCCTGAATAATTTAACTTTCTCCCACTGCGTTTAGCACTTGAGAAAATAAAATGATTGAGTTTAGAAACAAAAAAATAAGACACCAGGAGCTGACAGATTATTAGGGACTGCAAACGAACAACGTTCTTGATAAAAAGACCGTGTCTCTAGTCTTCATGCAGACTTAAAATGGAACCCACCGGGAGCCCCCATAACTAGTCTGACCGTGTCTGACCGCTTAGGTGGTTGTTTCGACATTGTCCAATTCCATCTCTATCCAGACCTTTCTTTTTAATACAGAATTTTGAAGCACTTACTTTAATCATTTCATTTTCTTTGAGAGCTAAAGCGACTTCTTTCCATTTTTTATCAGTTGCTGTTTTCATAATGTATAATACAAACTTAAATATTTCAGCATGCTCAACATTCTTCTTGTACATGAAGTCATCTTTCATATGACGGAATTTGAGGATCGAAACAAGGTTAAATTGATCAGGGCTCAAAGCAATTTCCTATCCTTCAAACTTTAAGTGATAAATTTTGAATCTTAAGACGAGAAAAAGGAATAGAAATTAAAAACTAAGGCGACTATAGTATGACCATGTATCACGATATTGTTGAAAAGTTCACCTTTTTTTTGAGCATTACAGTAATATTTTTTTTTGCGAAAAATGTTAAAATGTTGAGTGTAAAGGTATCTATAAATCAGATGCATGCCTAGCTTATCAGTCACACAATTTGTCACACAGATCATTTGTGTAAAATTTTTAATAGTAGGTCAAATGATCGACACACCCAAATTTTATAAGTAAAATTTTGCATAAATTTGCTTTCTATGCTTATTTGACAATAAAGAAGTAGTCAGTGTAATTTCTAGATATCATTTTGCAAATTCTCTAGCATTCGAAGGTTCTTTCTGTGAAATTTCAAGGGTGATTAAAAATAAAATTCAAAAGAATCATGACCACGAAGTTGGGCAATTTTTTGACGATTTTTACTATTTTTTTATAAGTTATTTATGTTGTTTACT